TCGAGGAGGGGAATTGGGAAAAGGAAGGAAGGCCCATGGGTTGAGATAAGAACTATTTAATACTTGAAATTAAATAAAATTAAATTAAAAATTATAATGATAATAATACATACGGACAAGTGATGTACGGTGCAATTGCTCACCACCCCTGGACCGATGTCCAACCTGTTCCCGGCCAGCGATCCCGGAGCAGGAAAGTCCCAAAACTGCAATCCCAGAAGAGAGCAAGCAGGCCTTGGGAGCAGAACAGCAGGCGAGACCCTCCAGGGACAGTGACCATTGAGGAAGAGAGCCCATCCCCAACAAACTTCCCAATTTATAGTGAGCATGACGTTCCGTGGTATGGAATACCCATTTGCCAGCTTAGGTGTCAATCGCCCTGGCCGCGTTCTCCCCAGGTTCTTGGACGTCTGGGTCGTTAGCAAAAACAAGTTGGAAAGTCCTTGAGCACTACAGATACCTGCATACCATGGCCGGCTACAAACTCAAACAAAGTGTCTTATCCACTTTGTTCTCACCAAATCGGGTGCTGCAGTCCTCTTAATAATGCAGCTTACTTTTCTGTAGCTTCTCTGAACAGAAAATTGATTGTATCCCAGCAAAAAACAGGATTATTATAACTTTGTGCCACATTGGTTTTTGGGCAAAAGATTTTCTGAGCCTTAATTGAAATATCTGTGCACCCTCGTTTTGAAGGTTGAAAGTTTATGCCTTCTACTCTGATCTGCTTTGCTTTTGTATATATTCTTTTTTGTTTTGGAGGCTTAAGTAAAAATGCTGCATTCGGAGGAGCTGCAATTTGGTAATTACAGAAATTTCTTTTCCTCCATCTTGAAGCATTGATACAGTGGTCAAAATATCTCTCACCCTTTCACAGGTAAGGCACGGCATGCTGCAGAGCTGGGACAAAACCTGGCTGGACAGCTGGATCATCTCAAAGCTGAGCCCCCGTCATGATCAGTGGCTCTTCTTTTCTGCTCCTGTTTAGGTGTCCAAACCATTCTGCCTCCCCTAATTTGTTTAGAGATTAATGTGCCTAAGCTCATTCTGCTTAAATTTCCCTTCTCTTCCTCCTAGGATTTGTAATTGCACATCCTGGGAAGGCGCAGTTCGTAACGTAGTGTTAATGTTACCACATTTGAACCATCTGATTAATGGCTTGGTTTGTGTGTGCCGTAGATCTGTGTGAAGAGGAGGAATTCAAAGTATTGCTTCTGGAGTTGAAACACAAACACGATGTGATCATGAAGTCTCAGATGAGGCATAAATCCTCCCTGAGTCGAAGGACCTCCAGCACTGGCAGCCGAGGGTAAGCGCGTTGTTCCCTGGTTAGGGTGACCACCCAGATGTGGGTTGCTGAGCACCCTGTGGCCAGCGTGCAAAGAACAACCCATCTGTCCTTTCTGAAGGAACGAGCTCTGAAAAGCAGAAGCTGACTTTCGATTGTCCTGTGAAGAGTGGTTTTTTCACTAGCAAGAGGTGTTGTTTCTTGGAAAAGGGCTCTGTGCTGTCACGGTTTAAGAATTGCTCTGAGCAGAGGACCAAGTGGTGAGAATTTACCCTGTTAAACCACCGATACTGGTGCCTGAGAATCAGTGCTTCAAACAAATTAACTCGACCTTCTTAATATGTCTCATGGCCAAGATACTGTACTCAGACACAGTTTGCACAGGTCTTTATAAGATGTTTACTAGACACCAAAGCAGTCCTGCAGACCACAAAACTCCCTAAACAGCCTGTGGATCCTTTCCCTCTACATTTACTGTGCTGGTTGCAGAACAGATCCGTTAGGTGAGCTGTATGAGATGTAACGCAGATTTGCAGTACCACTTTAAAACTCCTTAAAATTCCTCCCACCTTTAACATCCACGCTAGTGCCTTTGCTTTGCGTGGGTGCCAGGAAGCTAAATTCACATTCCGTTCCAGTGGGAGAGGCTGTGAGGCGCGAGGAGGAGGTGAGGAGAGCTCCAGGGTAAAAGGAAATGTCGTGTCCTGCTCACAGCTTCGATGCCGCTTCTCCCTGTCCCACAGGAAGGTGGTGAGGAGGGCCAGCCTTTCGGACCGAACAAACCTCTATAGGAAGGAGTGTGAGAAGGAGGCTATCGTTTGGCAGCAACTGGGGGCGGCAGAAGAAGGAAGAAACTCAGGTCTCATTGGAGAAATTGGGGAGACTCGGTCTGACCAGGAGAATACAGACCCCGTAAGGAATCTCTGCTTTATTATGGGAGTCACTGAGGAGGGCTGGTAGTGCAGGTTCAATAGCAGTGGGTGCTCTGGGGTGGAACGTGGCTGAAAAACTTGTAAACCTCATCCATCAGATGTAAGCAAAAGACTAAATTCTCTTTTGGTGTAAACTGAGATATCCCACTCAAGTGGAAAGACTGTTTCGGATTTACAGCTGCATAAATAGTTTGGAGATCTGGCCCAAGTGAACCAGGAAGTTCAGAAAAATAGTGTATGCATTTCTGTTTACACCTAACAAACTGGTAATCACAAAAGAACTGTAATTTTGTTTTACAGTTATTTGGTTTTAATTCAGTTATTGTCATGTTATGTTAATATGCTTATCTTTTTTTTTTTTTTTTTTTTTTTTTTCCCATAAGTGAGTCCTTCTGAGTTAACATTCCATGTTCCTGGTTGGGAACCAGCTCTTGGCTGGGGCTCAAAGTGTTATAGAGTTCTGTTAGTGGGGGAATTCACGGTTTGTGCTGCAGTACCTGTCTGGTGGAAAAGGCTTAGGAAGTTGTCATAGGGATGAACTGTGCTATGGGGGATGAGGGAAGATGCTCTTCTTTCATGTCTTCTTGTTACAGAACTCAGTGCTGGAGAACTCTTCCCTCCTTCCGGAGTTAGCAAACAAAAGCACCCAGTGTGACTCTGAAATCCCCCTCCAGAATGGACTCATGGCATCTGCCAGCGCTTACCAGTACACCTTTTCCAACGGGGACATCTGGAGTATGCACACTGACCCTGACACTAATCCAGGCCACATGTTGCCCTACGGCAACCCCGGGCTCCCTGATGTGCAGCCCTTCTGGGGTACCTACAAGGAGCATAACCATCAAACGCTCTCCGAACTTAAGCGGCAGCGGGCTGCAGCCAAACTCCTCCATCACCCTTTCCTCAGCACCCACTTCAGCAGTGGCATGGGAGGAGTTGCCGAGAACGGGGGTGAGGCCAAGTCGCACTTAATCGGATCCAGGACTTCCCCCTACAGCTCCAATGGGACCTCTGTGTATTACACAGTGTCCAGTGGTGATCCACCCCTCTTGAAATTCAAAGCTCCCATGGAGGAAATGGAAGAGAAGGTGCATGGGTGCTGCAGAATTTCCTAGTTTCATCTGTTTCTCACCCCAGAGGAAACAAGACGTGGGTGGGCTGGTTGGATCTATCGCAGCGGCCAGGTTGTTTGCATTCCAAAGGGAGAATTTGGTTATGGACATCCTGACTGTGGCGACCTCGTTCATCTTGAATTGTACTTTACCCTGCCAATTACTTCCATTGCAGTTGAATGAGTAATGCAGGTGGAACAAGGCTCTTAGGGGAGGAAGGGATGCGCATCAATATGGTGTAAAAAGAGTCACCCTAGTCTTGCTCCCTGGGGAAGAAAGTATGGTGCACTGCCTCCCTGTCCTTGGGAAGTCCTGAGATGCCTTGGAACAAAGAAAGGATCTGAATTAAAATCTTTGCATCTGAGCCTCTTGAAGGTGACAGTTCAGACCTGAATTTCCACTCTTGGGTGATGCCTATATCCCGGAGGGGAGATCAACCCCGACACCGGGTTTGCAAGAGTGGACAGAGCTGTTTTCCATACAGCTGGATCCAGCACTTACAGGGCCTCAGCATCAAGCAAGCATAGATGCTGCGCTTGCTTCAGGAAGTTTGCGAGGCGTTATCTCCTTGCAGTGACGGCTCACCATCACAAACTGTGCACTGGTTGGCCCCTGTTCTGCTCACGTAGACTCATCACTGCAGACTGCCATCAGGTTTGAAGCAGAACTTTTCCTGGAACAGGCTTCACTCAATAGGCTTTAAAACTGATGTTGCAATAAGGGGCCCCGGCAATAGAATTTTACTGCAATAAAATACTGACAGAGGTCTATATTGGCATAAGTAATTTAAAAAAAACTTATTTGTACTATTTAGACTCTTAATTTGTTAAAACTGAAAAGACTTTTGCTGATCTCACTTTCCTATTGATTCTGTTTGTTTACTCTGTACGCTCAACACAGATACTAGGGGCAGTATGCTTTGTGTTCTGATTTTTCTGGATTTCCAGAACCACAGGGCTCAGGAGGGCTGAGGAGGAAAGGCTTGCCGACACTCGTCGAGAAACGTCATGAAAGCATTTCTCTAACCTGCAGTCTTTGGCTGATAAACAAATAACTGTTAAATCATTGCTTTGGGAGTTGAACATTGCAGCAGGGCAGGAGACTTTATTTTTTTTGTCTGGTTTTCCAGCTCCCAGGCTGAAGTCATCAGCAGTGGTCAGTAGCTGTCAGAAGACTTAACTGCCTCTGTGTCTGAGGGACTCGCCTAGTGCCATGCAAAGCCTCTGTGCCGCGGAGTGGCTGGCACACCACCACCAGTGTTCAGTGCAGTTCATGTTAGCTCTGCCAGACACCTGAGAAACACCAGCACGGCATAACCGGGAGGGTTGGCACTGGCTTGTCAGCAAGTTAAGGCTTGCGTACCTGGGGGAGGTGGGAGGAGAGTGCCCCGTGGGAGACAGCTCTGAGGAACCGGCCACAGTTAACAAGTTGTATCTACAACAGTAACTGCAAATCTTCAACCCCTTTTCTGCACAGAGGGGCTACTGCACACCTAACTATTTCCCTGCATGAGAATGTGTCTTCTTGGGCAGTTTAAATTCCAAACTCTGAAAACATAAGCCTGTTTGGGTCTCTCTAAGCCATCAGAGGATTAAACCCAGCTCACCTAGTTGTGTTTCAGCCAAGCAACAGCAAATGCAACTTCCACCAATCTTCCTTTTGCCCGGCGGCTGTTAGCCATCGATATTACACTGCCCACGGATGCTCTCCCTGTGGGAATCCCCACAGCCTTTCCTTTTTTTCTAGGCTATAAAAAGTTGACTTAGGCTGCCAGTGACTGTTAAGTGCTCTCTTCTGCTCCCCATCAAATCTAGCCCATCGCTGGAGCTGGGCTCCTCCGCTCGGGACAGCGGAGGTGGCTGTGTGTCCCACCACAACCACGCCGTGCAGGAAACACTTCTGGACCTGTGAGGTTATTACCAGGCTGACAGTTTCCTCTTCTGAGCTCTGAATATACAGTTCTTTTCCCTCACTGGTTTTAGGAACAACTTAGAAAATGGTAGCAGTTGATCTGATTTTCTAAAACCTCAGTTCACTTAAAGGCAAGGGGTTTCTTTGTGTGTTTTCAAACATTCAGAGACGTCGGGCTTCCTCCATTATTGAAACACATGTGCTAAATATAAGACTAGAAAATACTGCTTGTGCTTGACTTAAGGAATTCTAAAAGTCATTCTCTAGTGGAAAGAAGATGATTTGGTAACGGGACAGACTTTACCATGTCTGTGTGTGGTTAACCAGGTCTTCTGGTTACCTCGAGAAAATTCTTTTGGATAACACAAGTGTAGCCCGGGTATTACTGAACGGGGGAAGATGATCTTCCAGTTGCCTCTGTTCTCCTGTGGTGGTGGGAGTTGTCTCTCCACATCCCTCCTAATGAGGATTCTGGACTCAGTGTAAAAAATTTTGGTGCCACTATCTGCTAGGTTGTAAGTGGTGCAGAATTCGGCCCCAGTTGATGCCCTCTCTCCCAGGGAAGGAGGAGTCGGGTCCTTTTCCTTCTCAGAGCAATTTTGTGCTGTCAAGTGTATTGAATCCTACCTAACTGCAGGCAAATGGAGAGGAAACTGTGGAAAACAGTAGTGTTAAGTAGTTTGAGGCTTACTTGCACTGAGAGTTGTTAAAACATTAAAACTGGAGGAAGCCAGTCCATTTTAGACAAATAGCTTTCAGTCCATTGGTATTTCACTCTCTTCATATGTAAAATGCCAGGAACTCATCGTTCTAGCTGTGATCTTGAGCAAAGCAACAATTGATTTACTATCAGGCAAAAGATACTGCAGGTTCTAAATTACAAAACATCCCTTAATTGGACTTTGTATTGTAATTATGAAATTGGCCGTAATACAGCTCTTCTGGCTTTATCACTGTAAGCTAACATCTCACTGAAGTCTAGTGGTGGAGATCAAATGTAATCAATTCTAACTCAGACAAGAGAGTCAGTAATCAATAAATCTTCTGGGATATGTTTCACAGCCATGCCAAGGATTTATCTACCACTGGCTTTGGGCTGAAGTTACACCGGAGTGGGATTTGTGCAGGCTGTTGAAGAGTGACCAGCAACAGATTTGTGCTTGTGTATTGGTGACATTCGGGATATAACGGTCACTGCCTGCAGGGCACTGGCAAATACGCCCAGGGAAGGAGCTGGCAATTTATGCTGCATGCAGAGTTGTTGGTTGTAGGTCTGGGATGAACAATTCTGTAAAATGGGTATTTAACCTGCTTCTGGAAAACTATTTTGTAGAGTCAAACGGGCTTTGAGGGGAATAATAAACACACAGAAACCCTTATATGCGCACTGTTGGAGCCTACCTCTAGGAATAGGGCTTTTTGTTATAAAATTTAGCAGTGTTACAACAATAGTGGTTTTTTATATGTATGTCTTTTAAAGGCCATCCCAGTGGAAAGCTCTGAGGTGCGTAGCAAAGGCACTTGGCTATTTCATGGAATCTTATTATTGCTAAAAAGCCGTAGAAACTAAAAATCGTGTTGTGACTGGCATATCTAGCACTTGGCTTATTAGAGGAAGATTCGGGAGTTTTTATGCTATACTCAGTGGTTTTAGGCTCAATAAACATCTAAGTACAGACTCAAGGTCAGATTAGAGTCCCGCTTTTGTTAGCAGTGAGCCAAAGGTTGTAGCTGTTCATGCAGACTACACAGAGATTTGAGCACATGGATGTACTGACAGGTCTGTTGTAGACAGAGCTGCACACGAGAAGAACCCTTCTGCTTGCAAAATCTGCCTATATGCTGAAGTCATACTGTCCCTAGCAAACTAACTGGTTGGTGAGAGCAGCTTCACTTTCCATGCTGAAAGACTTTTTTTGAATTGAAAAATGGCGTCTCAAAATAGTGTCTCTGCTTTACTGAGCTCAACCAAGAAAGTCCCAGCAATGAGATGTTAGATAAGGGCTTAAGTACCGTTGCTGGAATCTGTGCGATGCCAGACCTGGATCTGTATTTCTTGTACCAAGTGATGCAATTTTAGCCCATTTCGTCTCACTTCTGTGGTGCTGCAGAATCTTAAAACCCTTCCTAATTTTGGAAGGAACTGACTCTAGCTGATGTGATTCGTTACCATCTTTGAGGTGTGGTTGAAGAACCGGAAAGAGGCTCTCCTGCTAGGGAAGGAGGAGAAGAGCATGGCAGGGCAATAGCAATAATGAATCAGTGCAATACTCAGTGGAGGCAGTGGATTCTCTAGTTTCTCGAGCAGGGTCTTATTTCGTGGGGTTGAAAGCACTTACAAGCTCCCAAATGACATTACAACTTCTCTTTATTGTCCTTTTGCTTTAATCTTGGAGCTCTGTTTACCCAGATCTTCTCTGCTGAAACTGAATCAGCAATACCATGAAGTAGGAGTATCTTAACTGGGAAAGCAATAGCACTGGTCTCCAGTGAGCCATAGATGAACTGTTGTCCATCTGCTGGAAAGGGTTCTCCCTACGTCTGGATATTTCTGTGCCTTATCATACTTGCTAAAGATAACTCGGTAACTAGTCTCTGGAAGGTTTGTGGTGACTATACAGTGCTGTTCTTTACCTTACAAACTCTTTTGCAAGGGGATAACAGTTCAGAGCATACCAGATTTTGAAGTTTTTATTTGCTCTTTCAATTTCTCTCATGATCACTGTTTCTCTCTTCTTAAATACATAGAAAGGAAACGTGCAGGGACTTCATTCTAATTTAACAAATCATACTTTGTTATAGAGATTCTCTACAGGCAAAATCCAGAATATGCTTGTAGCAGCAAGGTCTAGCCTACAGAACACAGCTGATATTTACATTTTTGTTTTGTTTTGCCTTGGCTCTACAACAGAATTTGTTGTCCCTGGTTGTTCTTCAGCTTTATTCTGCTGTTTTCATGTTGGCCAAACTGGTAATGGACCCCTCTGTTCCCCTACATGATTCGAGTACCACTGAGTTCCTCAGGCAACATCTGCCATGGCACGATTGCGACCTGGAATATTTTGCTATATTGCAACTGCGAAAGCTGTAGTAGAGGAATCTCTGCTCAGGATACCTATTCCCAAACCTACACCAATGCAATTATCTCCACCCGCAGCTGGAGAGGAGATAAGGGGTTTTAAACAGTGCAGGTGCAGCCTTAGTGTTGCCACCTCTCTACATCTTCAGCCTATAGACTGCAGTGTGAGAACGGACTCCAGGAGTGTCGGTAACCCCGGTACAGCTCGATGCCACTGCTGCATGTACCGGATATTGGCAAATGATGGCAAGCCTTCTGCAATAATTCGGAATTCCATCCATCAGTAGTAACCGATGTACAAATAAAACTTGATGACATGTATTTTATGTGAAAAAAAAAATAATGTAAGAACTGTATATTGCATTAGCAGCTTTGT